ACTCACTCTAAAGTTGCTTCTGAATCAATAAACTTATTATTATTCATCAAAAAAAAAACATCTGCAATAAGAGTAAATAAAAAAGGTGACAGCAGACCCCCTTGCCCAAGATCACTCTTAGTAGGGAAGAAATCCTGTAGTACACTGTTCAAAATTGAACAATAACAAGACTAAAGGCATCCTTTAATCCACTTTCTGCATTTCACCTTAAACCCACTGTAATCATACTTCTCCATATCCATTTTACATGCCAACCCCCCCCCCCTTTCTTCTTAGGTCTTGGTTGCACTTATCTGTTATCAAAGCCCTATCTGTGATTTTTCTTCCTTGGAGAATCAAGGAAAGAGCCTCTTTTTAAGCATAAGAGAAGGAACCCTTGATATTATTGAAAACCAGTTATTTTTTTATCAGCAAAAAAAATTATTGAAATAATTAATTATAAGAGAGATAACAGTACAGTTTGATGACCATAAAGTCATCCCAAGTAAGTTTGCTAGGTTACATCGAAGCCCAAAATAACCATTGCCTTTCCACTCCTTATTTAGCAAGAGAATCAGCTAACCCATTTGCACACCTTCTTACCCACTTGAAATCAGCACTTAGCGATCTTGCAAGCCTTTCAACTTCCCAGTAAGCATTCTTGAGAGTCCAAGGGATATGTTTATTACATCTCGCCCAAGAAAATAACTACTTTTGAAACCCCTTCCACCTTCATCTGTCTGAAACCCAGTTGCTTTGCCAACCGAAGACCATGAAGAAGAGTGAACAATTCAGCCTTCATAGAATTAGCTGCTCCAAGTGAACCTGAATAAATAGCTAATATCTTGCCCTTGGTAATTTCTGATTGCCCCACCCATTCCTGCCATACCTGGGTTGCCTAAGGAGCTTCCATCAAAACTCAACTTTAATTTGCTGCCTTGTGGGGGTTTCCACTCCAATCATATTCTTCCTCTTTCCCTAGAGGATTGTGCTACTCATGCCCTTAGGACATCATTAGTTGTGAAGTTCTTAAAGCACTCCAAGGTTTTAATCCGAAGTGCAACTTTTATTTTTACGGCCTCTATTACTTCCTCCGCAGTTCTACTCTTTCCATTGAATATTCTATTGTTTCTCTCTTCCCAAATCACCCAAACAATTGCTGCCTTTGTTGCTTTCCACATTAATCTCCCCCTTTTCTTTAGTTGCCTCAGGAAATTTGGGTTCAAATCGTCCACCACCTCTTGAGGAGGGACCCACGGGTAGCCAAAAAGAGAGCAGAAAGACTCCCAAACACGAGAAACAAAGGAATAAGAGATAAATAAATGGGATAAGGAATCTCGGCTATCCCTAAAAAGGAAACACATATGAGGAGAGAGGCAATTAGAGGGCCTTCTTCTCTGCAGCATATCACAAGTATTAACCTTTCCAAGGAAGATTTCCTAGCAGAACGCTTGAATATTTTATGGGATAGGTTTATTCCAAATTTCTTTCACCGGGAAGTCCACCCCTTTGGAACTAGGTAGGGCTAAAAGCTTGAAAAAAGAGGAACAAGTGAAAAGACCATCAGGAGAGCCGGTCCGAATTCTAGAGTCTTCTAAGGTTGGGTCCAGAAAAGTTGTCTCCAACAAAGCAAACAGGTTAATCAGTGCAGTGCATTCACCCTCCCAAAAGTTATCAAAGAAAAGGCCTTTAGAATCTTCTACAATGACATGTAACTAATCTCAAAAAAAAGATACAACACATAGGAACCTTTATATGGCAAGGAAGAAAATATGGCTCACCAGGTAGTCTTTCACCAGTATTATTGGAAGAGAGATGTCGTAGTACAGATTCCATGTCATCACATGAAAGTGGGCGAACATGCCTATAATACAAGTGATAGGCAATGCATATCAAATTGTTGTTTACTGGATGAACCATGTATCAACAAAACAATAGTGAAAAACTAAGGGAACATGATCAATTAAAAAATGATGTCAAATTCAACAAACTTTGCAGATATTATGACATGCACAAAGATTGCCTCTTCAGTGGCTGCAAACACAAACTCAACTGTCGGCTGCACCCTCCTACAAAAGCACTGACATTCACTTAGAAAGAAAGAGGGAAAATGTGTGATATGATAGTTGTTTAAAAACACAACTAGACAAAGCATTCTCCTACAAAATACAAGAAATTAGAATTCATATGAATTTGAAAGTAATGGTATATGAATCAAGTAACACCAGATCAATAGGGGAAAAACAAATCTGTACAAACATCTAAGGATTTTGAATTAGTAATATGCACAAAATTCAAAAACGACAATATAGTAATAAATTATTTACAGCTTAAGCAAGAAACTTCTGGCATGTAGCAATAAATGATCATATAGCACTAATGAACAGTAGTTGATGGCAGAAACTCAAGCTCTTTGTGATGGATTACTCTTGACCCAAGCCACAGCTTTCATGAAGGTTGAAGCAGTGGCTGACTCAAAAATTCTTTGTATCATCATGAATGATCAATGCTTCATTCATTGGGGCCTCTGATACATCCATAGAGAAATTATGAAATTACTCAGTTTGATGGATGTGTGTGTGCTCATACACCTTACATGAAGAGAATCGTGTAGCTGATGGCAGCTGTTGGCTATCTTTCTTACACATTGACTAGCTTGCTTTTGATGAGTTTTAGAAGATTGGGGTATCATTGTTTTACCTGTAATATTCACTATTTCATCTCCGATTTGTATTTAGCTATTCTCAAGGGGTTAAGGCTTCTGCATCCCCCATCCTAGGTGTTTCCTTTGATATATTTATAAAATTTACAGCAGCCACCCCTCCACAGGAGTAAATTTTGGGGTTAAAAATAAACAGCTATGGAACTCCAAAAGTAGTAATAAATGCTTCTTTGGCCAATGACAAATCCTCTTTGACAACATGGCTGTCATACTTTTACTGCTTTACAAACTTCAACATTTATAAAACTACCTGTGATACTACAAACAATATTATGGAGTACTTTTGGATTTAACAAAAAGTTGAAGTATCTGAGGGAGATACAGAACCCATTTTCAATCAGAAAGGCTAGATCTTCAACATAAAGACTAATAAGGCCGTCAGATGAGCATCAATATTTGCCAATTCTTTGACTGGTTCTCTAGCCAGAGGAGGATTTGGGAGATCTAAATTGTACTGGAGGTCATCTGTCATGTAGTAGTTTTGCGGTTATTCTGTTTGTCTACAATGTACTTTCATTCTGGCCATGATTTGGCCTGTTATTGTCTTCTATTGCAACTTTTGAGGAGAATTCTTGATTGTACATACATTTTTTAGTTCTAATAAAGCTATTTCCTAGCACCTAGTTGCTGCTACAAAAAACAAAAGCTCATATTCAACAAGACATGCTTAAGACACAAAACAATGAAACCATGAGAGGATCCAAGAAATCCTTGAAAGGCAAGAAAACATATTTAAAGATAAAAACAACTTAAAGCAAGGCTAAAATAGGCATGGTTTAAAAAACAAAAAGCAATGAGAAACGCAAAAACAGTTAACACAAGAGGCAGTCCACCAACAAAAATAGATTCCTCAAAGCACATCCCTAACCAAACTGTCCAATATCAATTAGCCCACCATTGAATCCATATGAACTGAATGTTCACTCTGGAAGAGACCATGGGCCAACAGTTAACATCCATCCAATAAAAATCCAGAGAACAAACTCCAATCTTACACACTCAAAACCCAAGGAATACAAACTGATGTGGAACATTGGAGAACTACAAGTTTATAGCACACAAAAAACGAGTAGCAAGCTTAAGAATTTTCACCATACAGCCATAATATTTATCTTTCTGTTATATTTCCATTCATGGATGGAACTTAAGGCCATAAGCCTTTTTCCCTTATGTGATGATCATATGACCACTTGAAGTTATGGAATAAAGTGTCTTTTCTTATGAGAAAAGGCTTGGATCAACTGCTTTTTTTATTGGCAGATTGGATCAACTACATATGCAGCAGAATCTAATCATACAACAGTCTATTCTTGTTGTCATTCTCTAAAATAACGAAAGGATTTCTGTTGGGTTCATTCAAGCACAAGAAATCCCGAAAGTACGATTTCAGCTTTGGATAGAGTTCTTTACTCTTCTTCTAAGTCATTTGCTTGATGATTTCTCTCTGCATGTGTGCGGCCTGCACTGGACCAGCAATTGCCAACAGTTGAGGGCTGGCTGTTGTACCAGTTAGGCCTTGGAGAAAGCAAAAATTTCTACTCTAATAAAGCCCCTAAAGCCAATTGGACCATAACAAAGTGCAGTAGCCTTACCACCATGGTTTCTAAAAACTTCCCCAACTAAGGAAAGCCTCAGGTTCCCAATTGAGAATCCATCAAAGTTGACCAGAACCATCCATTGGCTGAAAACTTCAGAACTGTTTATGGACTTTTCCTTTGATGATATTCGGAGGAGCTGGTTAGCGGTGGCTTCGATAGCTTCAAAGAAATCCAGATCACAGGCAAGGTGGACTACTCCTCCAGAAGGAGTAATTAAAATGAATTTTGATGGCAGCAGTCAAGGTAACCCAGGGCCTAGGGGTGGATTCGAGCCGAGCCAGGCCGAATAGTACGAGGCTCAGCTCAGCTCACCAAGGTAGTACAAGGCTCGAGCTCGATTTGAGAAAAAATATTTTATAAAAATGAAAATTTATATATATAAAATATTTTTTATTTGATATTTAAAAATTAAGAATTATAATATTTTTATTATATATATATTATTTTCCATAATTTTATTATTATTATTATATATTCGAGCTCGGCTCGTTTATTAATCGAGCCTGTAAATTGGGCTCAAGCTCAGCTAGAAGCTCGGTTGAAACCAATCCGAGCCGAGCTTGAGTAGCTCGTGAAGAGCTCGGCTCATGGCCATTCAGGAATTGGTGGAATTTTGAGGGATAATAACAGCAACATTGTATCCTTGTTCTCAGGCCCAGTAGGAGTGAGTGACTCAACAAGAGCTGAATTACTAGCAGCTATACAAGGTTTACAGATAGCAAGCCAACTTGGAGTGGAAAATCTGGTAGTTGAAGGAGATTCCAAGGTAATAGTTAGCTGGCAGCAGAATTCGGACACTGTCACTTGGGGCTACAGAGATCTTCTGAGGAAAGTAAAATGGATTACAAGAAGCATGACAGTCAATTTTCAATGGGTCAGCAGATCAGCTAATACTCTGTCAGACTCTTTGGCTAAGGAAGGGCTTTCTCAGGCATCTTTTTATTGGGCTAATTTGTAATATTATAGTGCTAGGGTCTGTACTCATTCCTTTGGGAAGGTAGCATCTTGTGCTTCCTCAAAGGCTGCTTGTACTCTCCTTTTTTATCTCTTTAATAAAACTGCCTAATCATTCATCAAAAAAAAAGGTTGAGCTTAACAATGCCACACTTAGGAAGAGCCTGATCCTGTATTGCAAGCTGTCTAAGGGATGGCATTCCCAAAATGATATACGGCCTCTTGATTTGGTATATTTCTTATTTCTCATTACAACTTCACAGTTATTGGTGAAAAAACATGAGCAAATTGCTTCGTGCAATGGTAAAACCTCAGGCTGACAAGCATGAGAGCATGGATTCAAGTCTGAGAGAAACCGCTTCATGCAAAAAAATGCCCACGGTAGGTCCATATCTAGTCGACCCTCACAAGACACCAGAGAGCCATGACCAACATTAGATAACTGCCCTTGTTAGTTATTAGTTAAATAAGTGAAATATTTAGAATTTTAGCAATCCAATAATAAATCCTATAAGAGTTATCCAAAATACAAGAAAACATGTGTGCATCTAGTCAAAAGAAAGTACTTTTCAGAGAAAAGCAACTAACACCATTGTCAATGAGAAGAAAAGCAAGGAAACAATACTAAACCTTCAAAAGGATACATCAGACTGTTAATCAACCCCACCTTACTTGTAGCCAGCACAAAAAAAATAATAAGACAGCAAAGAATATTATAAATATTAAGTAGTTTCCAGTAGGCATTTACTTCCTTCAGATAAAGAAGAATAATTTGCACATGTAAAGAGAGAACAAAACACCTAGTTGTGGACCACAGGTCCATAACAAATAAATTCTCCCCTATAGACTAATCCAACATCAGATGTTTATGACCACAAACCTGAAAAGTTTCTCAGCTCTCAAAAATGGAAGGCATCTGGAAAATACATCTCCAAATCTCACATAGGAAAGCCCCCTAATAGATCTGCCATTTCGAATAAAATATGTCATGTCCCAAGTAGAGAATTTATCATAAAAATCATACAAGTGAATGCCAACCTTTCTATGCAATTTCGTAGAGCCTGAGATAAAGCTGCAGCAACCTCTTCTGAATCCCCAGGGGCCAACCACAGTCCAGTTCCAACAACTTGTGTAATGAAAAAACATTCCAGGATTTAATCAATATCAAGACTATAATCTAAATCTCAAACTAGTAAAATAATAAATAGTAGTAGCAAACAATACATTAAAAACCAGAATAGTGCAAATAACTCAAACATAAAATACCTCTTAATCTGGAGACTGCAGCTTGAGCATGCTCAACAACAGATGAATGGCGCCCAGGAAGGAAAAGCCAGAGTTTGATTTTCTCATCTGTGTATTTCACATAGTAAAGCATAGTAGGATAGGAGAGAAGAGTTTAAACATAATATAAGTCCTAACAATTAGTTACAATATTTACCTGGATTGTGCATACCCTGAGATGGATCCCATGGACCAACAAAGGAATTGGTCCATGCACTGAGAAGCCCTTCCTGTTGCAATTGCAGATGTGATGAAAGTACGAGCAGTGTAGCAGCATCCTTCTGATCCGCTTTCACACTGAAAACCCATGCAAATCAAATTTCAGTAGTAAATTGCAAACAATAAAAGCATACCAAACAATATCTTGATTTTCTCCTCTCCACCTAATTGAAAGTTCATGAGAACAAAAGAATGAGACAATGCACTTAGGTCAGACCTTTTCTCAGGTAGAGGGCTCAGATCAGATTCATATGGGAGAAACTGGAACCAGGAAATTTGCTGAAGACCTCCCTGCATAATTGATCAATAACGAGTAAGAAATGATGCATATGAAATAACTAGATGAGAACTAAATTAACCATGAAAGATTCAAAGCAGTTACACAAGACAAATGGCCCTGATAGCAAGGGCAACCCCTTCTAGAAATTAGCCACATTAAGCCTATTAAATATAGGAAGGGTTAATTCCACCAAAAATAAAAATAAATAAATTAAAAATCTCTCTAGAAGCTAGACATTTTGTTATCGATTCTCGAGAGGCTAGACATTTACACCTTTATCTTTTGGTGGGTTCAACCCCTATAATCCTTAACCTAGCCTGATCCGGTCAGTGTGGATCCTAGCTGGGTAAAACCTTAGCCCAGGTAATCTTTGACTGTACCAGGTAAAAATTCTCATTGTTGCAACAATCTAAGGAACTAAGAGAGAGAAGAACTAGGTAGATAGATCCACGAAAACATATGATTAAGCATAATAAGATTAAGAAAAACAAAAATACTACATCTAAGTTACTAAAATCCTTAACAATGAAGATGCTATACAAACAGGGGATGAGTTAAGGTGAATACAATTTTGAAAACATTCGTCCACATTACTTGGTAATGCCAGAACTCCCGCTGCGATTTTATGATGCTATTAATCTTATGTTAGGCAGCAATGCTAAAGCCTCAGGTGCATCTCTCTAGACCTGAAAAGGCATAAGACCATTTTTATATGAATATGGACTGAAAAAATCATAACAGAAATAAAACACCACAAACTACACATACATAATTGACAAATGAAGATTCTGAATTATCAACTTGACTGCATAAATAGTTCTTTTCTTTTCTTTTCTTTCCATTTGTTTTTTGTTTTGTTTATCAGTAACTCTATATAAAAAGTTACAAGTAAACCCTTGGTCTACCAACCTTTGGCAAGACAAACTAGATCATTACAGACAGACTTTCTTGGCCCTCATGGGTAGTTTTCAGAATTCAGATGCATCTAGAATCCACCCACAATAAGCTAAGCTAGGATTATGTTTACAAGCTAGAAAAGGTAGCTTCCATCTTACACATGAAAGGATAGGCAACAAGACTTTTTTCTGTGTGGATGCATCTCAACATTTTTAAAATTCTTTTCTCTTATGAAAAGGTAATGGAAAATGTTCTATTGGTTATATCAAGAACCATGCAGAAAGTATAGCTCATGTACAATGAGAAACTATACATTCAGAAGGCATTTTCACAAAATCATCCAAGTATTTCTCCTATATATCTATACAAAAATTGTAAAAACGGGCAGCCTAATGCACGAGGTTCCTGCCAATGCAGGGTATGGAGGGGGCAGATGTATGCAGCCTTACCCCTGCACATACAGAGAGGCTGTTTCCAAGACTTGAACCCTGGTCACCCTGGTCGCAATGGAGCAACCTAACCATTGCGCTAAGGCCCACCCTCATATCTATAAAAAGGTTGTATAACAATCTACTTAGCACTCCTAGGAAAGTGGCTTTGGAGATTTCCTAGAGAAGACAAGGCATTGTGGCACTTGGTGCTTAGAAGCATTCATGGGCTGAAATCTAATGGGTGGAATTCTGGGATTGCCAGAAGTCCCAGTCTTAAATGCCCATGGAAGACAATTATGTCTATCCTACCTCATTTCTGCAACAGATTAGATTTGACCCGTTGAGGGCATAGTTGTCAAGGCAACGCCTAGGCGACACCTAGGCAACAAGGCGCCCTTTGAGGCTCGCCTCGCCTAATCGCCAAACAGTTTTGTACTATGTATTATAAAATACTTTTTTATTCTTTATTTTTTGACATTATAATTATAAAATAGGCACTATTAAACTAAAATATTCATTTTGTGTATTTATATACTAATTTCTTTTTATTATTTTATTATTTGTTAGGGTTTAATTAATGGAAACATTGCTAAACGATGTATTGAACCCTCAAAGACTTTAAAACCTGAACCAATAAGGAAGAACTTATAATTTTGTCTAATCAAAACATTTTCTACTACTACTACTATTCTTTTCTTCCTTTCTTTTCTTCTTTTCTTCTTTTCTTCTTTTCTTCTTTTCCTATAACAAAAATAAGGGTTCAGCCCCTATATTATTTGAATTTTCTTTTTCTTCTCATGAATATGTTGATTTTCTATACTTTAACATGAACTCTATACTTTTCTTATGAATAATTATTAAGGAAATATGGTTATGGTACCTAGGGAACTACCCTAGGATCTATGTTTTCTACATAAAAAAAATCCATCGCCTAGGCGACGCTTAGGCACCCGCCTAGGCGACGCTTAGGCACCCGCCTAGGCGACTAGGCGACAAGGCGCCCCCTGTCGCCTAACCTCACCTTGGCGCCTTGAAAACTATGGTTGAGGGGTTCAAGGGTAAAATCTTGGAAAGACCTGTGGTGGGGAGAACAACTCGTGTTTTGCTTTTGATAGATTGTGTAGTTTGGGAGAATGGAAACCTCTCCTGATTGTGCATACCCTGAGATCCAGGATCCTTGGAAGCCATTAATCTGTTTAACATTTTAAATAATGTTATTCGTTATACTTCTGGTGAGGATGAAAAGGATGTGGGCCCCCAATCCCAGTGGCAAATTCTCTATGTTCTCTTTCTTCAAATCCCTAGTCCAAGTTTCTCCTCAAATATCCTCTTTCATCCAGTGTCAAGAAAAAAGAAAGAAAGAAAAAAGATGAGATCCTCCTTCCTCTTCTTCCTTCTCCCCCTAACCACTCATTTTCCCCCTCTTAAAGAGGCTTATATTTTGAACTATGCCTTGTGTCACACCCATTTATCCACATCTCTAATATCAGGATCCAAGTGTATGAACCTCCTACTAAGCATCTATTTAAAAATTCCAAGCTCTCTTCCACCTTGCCTACTTACCTAACAGACACAACCTTCATCGAGACGTTGCAGTTGCCAACCCTAGGACTGTTAAACTCCTTCACAACATTTTTCCACCACAACCTTAGGAGTTTTCCTTGGTACACGGCCAAGATGAGGAAATAAACACTAGTGATCTTCTTCAAAAAAAAAGCCTGGGTAGGTCATATATTTCTCCTCATGCATGTGTGCTTTGTCTAAGAGAAGGGGAATCAGCAGATCACACACTCATTCATTGCAATTTTTCTCAAAAGATTTGGTGGCACTTCTTAAACCTGACTGGATACAGTTGGGTCTCTCCAAAGCATATTCAGGAGTTCCTCAATCAGTGGCATGGTTCATGTTTGAGCAGAAGAGGTAAAGTGTATTGGCAAACTGTGTTACATGCAGTATTGTGGGGAATTTGGGAGGAAAGAAACAGGCGCATATTTGACAACAAAATCAGATCTCTTGAAGAATTAATTTCAGATATCTCCTTTTATTGCAATTTTTTGACTGTTAATTCTGAGATGTTTCAAGGACTCTCTCTCTCAATGATCTTAACAGAAATATCCAAACGATCTTGTTTCTCCAAACCCACCCTCAACCAACCCAAAGACTACAGATATCACATATTGAAGAAGGGATGATTCTAAACTAGGATGGCAGTGCTGCAGGAAATCCAGGCAAAGCTGGGATAGGTGGTATTTTGAAGGATGAGCAGGGTAATATCTGTTGGGTTTTCAGTGGCCCAATAGGTAATACAGACTCAACAAAGGCTGAAGTGATGGCAGCGCTCACTGGAAATAGAATAATAAAAAGATTAGGCATTCAGAAATTATCCATTGTAGGAGATTCTGCTAATACTATCAAATGGCTGAAAGATAAGGAGGGGGTCCTTGGAGGTTGAGTCATTATCTGGCTGAGGCAAGAGACTCCTTGGAAAATTTAAATGCAAATCTGATGTGGATACCGAGGTAGTTGAATCATATTGCAGATGGATTAGCTAAAATTGGAGCAAGTTTAGAAAATTTATACAGCAACAGGCTTCCCCCCTTGTAACTTTGCTTTTCTGCTGTTTAAGTTCTCTTTCCTCTGTGTAGTACATCTGCTCATGTACTTCCTGTTTTTTATCTAATGAAATCTGGTTAACTTTTTCTCAAAAAGATGAGGAAATAATCTATCTGTCCTTTCACAAAGGCAAATTGGGAGAGGGGCAGCACCACTCTATGCAACACACCTCCACTTCTCTCAAAAAGAACTTTAAGAATTATCTTATAGGCCCCATTCATTTTTCTTTTGTCCATTTACCTAGGTAAATATACTTACCCGAGAAAGTGTTTCCCAGGAAACACTTACCCAAGTAAGTGTATTTATCTGTGTTCTTTTATTTCCTAAGTAAGTGAAATAATGACCATCGTATCCTTAAAAAGACAAAATTAGAAGGGGCAATATTGTCCCATCATGTGCTAGCAACTTCCCCCCAAATGGGAAAGTTACTTACCCACCCGGTTCCCATTGTTGGTCAATGGGAACCATTTTCACATTTACTAACTCCCCCTCCCCCCCCCCCATTTACCAAAAAACAAACATGCCCATAGAGACAGCCCACCAAGCATATGGGCATGATGAAATTTTTAAGCTCCCTAAGTCCAGCCCCTTAGGAACAAGGGAGGTAAAAACATGCTTTTAATCATTTCCACCTTGGTAAACCCTTCAATGACCCCAAATAAAACCTCTCTTATATTATCCCAGCAGGTTTGGCAAAAGGCCACTTTGAAGGCATCAATGCTTGGAAGTTGGAACTTCATACTTGGTCATAGTAGTAGCCATCCATTTTGTTCCTTCCCCTTCAGAAAGCCTTCTGATCTACTTGCCCATTTCAGCAGAAATCCTATCCCATTCAAACCCTTCAATAATTGAAAGTGGATTAATTAGAGATGCATGAAGGGTTCAAAATGACCGAGAATAATCTGATTAATACCCTCTGCAGCAAGATCATCCACCTAATTGATTTATCTCTACCTAGAAAAGTAAATGGTGGCTTTCTAAATGACATGTAACAGAAAAAGGTGAAGAACGATACAAAACAAGAGGAGGTAAGTCAGTTATTTTGTTTCTGCATTTCCTCTTCTTGGTTTTTTGGATATGATACTGAACAGAATGGAATGGCAAAACAGGATTCATCATTCATGTAGCCAACCCCATATAGTTAGGACAAGGCTTAGATGAAGATTTCCTCTTCCCAGATTTGTATGATTCTTTTCTATTTCACTCTTGTTTTAGTTTATTTCAAGAATGGTCAAATTCCTCTCCCTTCCTTTCCTCAAACCTAGACCTTTCTCTTTCCTAGATATACACCAATTAGCCAATCTTGCTATCTATCCAGGTTCTATCATCCACTAGATATGATAGATTAAAGAAGCTATCAGCATATTGCACAGTGTTGTAGTGAGATAATGATTAGTCATTTTTATCTTCCTTAATCAGTGTGATGCAAGGCACCAAATAGCCAAGCACAGAAAGATAAAATTTAAATTTAAGACATTTATGCAATCTCACATATAAGTTAACATAGACTACAGTCTGCAAAATGCAAAAACACCATTGAAGAATGATACATAACAATTAGCCCACGGCCTTCACTTTGCAAAGAAAGAGCGTAATAGCGACTGTTTGATAATGGCTCCCTTGTTTGTGGTGACCCCATAACAGCAAACCATTCATTGAAGTAAGGACACGTGAAACAAGCATTTAACGAGGGCATACTCGTTAAGGCGCTGAAGCGAATCTAGGAATCAGGAAGGCACCTAGTCGTCGCGATAAGTTAGAGAAATGGAAATTCTAGGTACTTACCTACTTGAAGTAGAAACTAGCAATCAAGACGAGTAGTAACAAAAAATTCAACATATTTAAGAGCAAATTAAACAAATACATGACAAGTTAATAAATTAACAAAAGCATATTAGAAATTAAAGACAAATGAAGAGAAAAAACTAGGATAGGGAAAGGGAGAACTTACTGTCGATCTGGACTAAGGCAAAATAATCATGAATTCACCCACTGTTGCGAGTGTGCTTGAGATAGGAGAAAAGGAAAGTAGAAAAGGGCACGAAGCCCTGTTTTGGTTGCAGAGAGAGAGACCAAGGAAAAGAATTACAATTAGAAACAAGCCTTTCTCCTGTTCGCGGCTTGAGAGCTGAGAGATGTAAATTTGATTTCTCCTCCGTAGTCTTCTACCAGAGGACCCCCACCATCTAAACCCTTGATCGACTGGATTCACTTTCGCTTTCGCTACGACACAGCGCAGGACTATAACCGAGAATCATAGCCTTAGATGCATTGCAGTGTCCCCACCAAGACGTCACTTCGGCTGATTCGAACTCGGATTAGCTGAACGTCCCACGCTGTTATGCAGGCTGTGGGGCCGATGAAATAATTACACGTTAGATTTACACGAATAGGTCATTCGCATGTGTAGTCTTATGATTTGAGTAACTCTATCTTTACAGTTTACACTAAAGAGTACCTTAAATTTTTGGTAAAATACAAAAGCCTCTCCTGAAGTTTTTTATAATCATAAAAACTTCTCTTATAATTTTATTATAGCGAAAATTTCTCTTTTATTTTTAAAAAATTTGACAAATACCTCTCTTCCGTCAATAATCAAGACGAAAAACGTTAAAGCGATAATCAATTTTTCTAAAATACTTATTATACCCTTTTACGAATTAATATGCTCTATTACTAAAATACCCCTATCTTAGCAATTTCATAATTCGAATACTGTTCATCTTCTTCCTCGTGACGCACAATGGCGGTGCACTCCCCCCTCCCGCCTTCCCTCTTCCTTAACTTTCCTCCCTCCCCCTCTCTCCACCAACACGAAATGACACTATTCATCGTTCCCCTATCCTTGACTGAAATACACAACGACGGCGATTGAATTCAATCTCCACCTCCGGCCATCCTTTCTCCTCTCATTTTCATTCTCTCTCTCTCTCTTAATTAATCTCTTCCCTTCCTCCTCATCCTCCATCGTCTTCTATCACTGCAAACACCCCCTCGGTTACCTTGATTACCAATTTCATCTATTTGAATAGCAATAGTGGCCGAGTTACTATGACCACCTCATACCACTACTGCAACTATGGTCCCCATTTTATCGATCATTTTCTCTCTCTCTCCCCCCTCTTTTTCTTCTTCCCTCAATTCCTTCCATTTGTAACCCGAAGCAATCCACCTCTTTGCTTCTACCAATCAATCCTCAGTTTTTCATCCGTCGACTAGGTCTGAATCTCTAGACTCCCTCTTACCTTTTTCTTCCATTATCTTTACATTTCTTTTTTTTTCATGTCCCCCTCTTTAGCATTTCTTTTTCTTTTATTTTATTCCCATACCTTTCCACCATGCTTCATCCTGTAATGAATGAGAAATTAGAGTACAGTTCCTGTTGCTGAATGAAATTCTTAGTATCATCATCGGACGGGTACCGGGAATCGGTAATCATCAACATCGGATGTGTTAATGGACCAGACAATTAAGCTGTAAGCATCGATAAACACCATTTTCCCATCCTTATGCAGCGAAACTTTGGATCCATGACCATTGACGGGTCTGTCTCGGTTGGCCATCCATACAACAGTCATGTCCATTAAGTTGGTATACCATATTGATAAGTTGTATGGTTTGTGCCCGACCACCGGGTAGAATCCACAGATGAACCATTTGTTAGGGGAGATAAGAACGTTTGAAGCAAAATCTTTGATTGTTAGAGAGGAACATCTGTTCAAATAACTCCTTGGGGTTGAAAATGCAAAAGAAGAGTAAAAGAAGAAGACATTGAACATAAGAAAAAAAAGGGATGACTGGACAACAAGGAATTGGGTGTCTCGAGTAGGAGAAAAGATAAATTGATCTTAGAATTCGTCTGAAATATTTTTGGAAAATTTGGGGTTCTGCCTTGATTTCTGGTCTCTGTGGACAAACATCGAGTTAACGCTTTTACCAAGGAGGACACTCAAATTTTCAACGATAATAACGTAAAAGCCATGAGTGAAAGAGAACATAAAGAATAGTCATCGGCTAATCGTCGCCAGAGGCACATCTCTTTTTCTCTTCAAGGTTCACTGAATTCATTTTCGTTGGAAGCGATCAGTGTTCGGCGGAACCTGTAGTTTGCTACGAAAGTTACTCAATCAAACTTCACCGAAATTGGCTATTACCGTCAATTTCTTAAAGCCACATGTGTATCTGGAGTCAGTTCCGGTAGTTCGTGACAGAAAACTCTTACAATTGCACATCTTCGCAAGTTCTGGAGGCACTTCCGACAATTCGTGACAGAAAACTCTTATAATTGTACATCTTCACAAGTTATGGAGGTAGTTCCAGCTAACAGAAAATGTTTAGAGTCAGTGAAGGCCAAGCTGGAGGATGGTGTCCTTACAATCTCCTTGTCCAAGCTGTCCCTGGACCAGATCAAGGGCCCCAGAGTGGTCGGAATCGAAGGTGGTGGGGAGCAAGAAAAGCTGAGTGAGGCCAGCACTACTCGTGCGAAAAGACAAGAAATATATAAACTAATTTAAAAAGGGTAAAATGGGTATTTAAAAACATTTGATGCATGGGTTTAACGTTTTTCCTTTGGATCAGTGACGGAAGGGAGATGTTTGTTGAATTTTTAAAAAATTCAAGGGAGGATTTTGTTAAAGTAAAAATATAGGGGATGTTTTTATGATTGTTAGAAATTTGAGGGTACGTTTTTGTATTTTACCCTTAAATTTTTAACAATTGATATATGATAAAAAATGAAATATTGAATTTACCCTTTACTCATCAAATTTTCAAAATAAAACCCAATTGATGAAAAACCCTAATTTCAATTTTTTAACAAATGCAAATATAACAAAAAGAATTTAAAAAAAAGAACAAACGAGAAAAATCAAATCAAGATTTCTACAGAATCGATACTAATGTACAGTATCGTAATACACCACATCTTTGATACCTAATCATCAGACATTGATCTCCACCGAAACTAGTTCGCCACTTTGTTACCTGATGTAGCGCAATCCGGCTGCTCCTTGCAGGAGATGATCTGGCTACCAGCAATGACGGGCTCAATGAACCTGCAAGAGATGAACCAGAGAACCCGGTGGTGTTTACCCGGCGGGGTCGCTCCGATGCTTAAGTTAGCACTTGGTTGTGAGCTGAAAATGATATTAGATTGTGAGAGAGCTAGAGAGCAGAGATTACGCGCCTCCTCACCCCCAGGGGGTTAAGCCTTTATATAATAGAGTCCTTGCAGGTTCGGTGGAGTAGTTCCGGAATTCTCGCTGCGACATGATCCGTTTCTGTGTTAATTGGGGATAACGCTACCAACCAGTAAGGTTGACCATTTCCGCCTGAATCAGGGAGTGGGGAGATAATATTAGTCGTTACAAGGTATGATCCCGTAAGACGCGGAGTACGGTGACGAGATCCTCGAGGTTGCCATGCGGTGGTCGGTCAGCATTGCCTGAGCTCATGCTCTTTAGATCTGACCTGATATGAATGCCGAAGTGCCTTGGGACCGAGGTGGTCCTGATGTGACCTTGCACCGAGGTAGACTTGTCCCGAGGTGGTCTGGTTATCCAAGCTCGATTCGTTGCGGACTTGGCATGTCAAGCTGAGCTGTTATCCTACTAGTTAGGTCGCGTCTGGGCTAGGCCGCAAGGTTGCGCCTGGGCCATGTTGCCAGTTCGCGCCTGGGCTAGGCCGCCAGTTCACGTCTAGGTTACGCCGCCAGTTCGGTGTCTGGGCCAGGCCGCCAGGTAGGACACCATCGTCTTGGCTAAAACAAGTTGTTGCCTAAGTGGTTCCGGGTATCACTTACTTGTTCTGAGATACCATATGTCACAACATCATTGGAGGGGCAAATCCGCCCTCATCACTACTACCTATTCATCATCAGTCAAAGCTCCATCTTCTCATTCATTATTTGTCTTCCTAAAACAAATTATACCATGTATTCCTTGCCTGCGCATGTTATCCATCTACAATTATTTGGCACTGACATGAACCGGTAATGGTAACCAAGTTATTGAAACCCAATCAGAGTCAGTCAGTCAATGACCAGGACCATGTCTCCGTAGTTCACTCTCACACTCACCAAACTGAGTGTCTAACCTAACACAAACAGATGTGATCTTATTATATTGACATGCATTTTAATATAACAGTGGCTCGTGCTTGCAAGTTGGCGAGAGAGGCTGGATCCCGAAAATGGAATAGTAACAGGTAGGGGTCTTTACGGGTTAGGTTGAGTTGGTTTGAGTTTTTTTTTTCAACTAAATTGACCTAATCGATTTATTCACTGACTAAACTAAAACCGATTGACCCTGAAGCAAAATCGACTCAAATATGAAGGGTCGGTTTGTTGGTTTAGTCGGTTTTTATATATATTTTAAACTAAAATATTTATATCTAAATATCTATTTATATTTAAGTTTATTTCTTTTTAGTTTTTATGCAAAACTGTTTTTTTTGTCAATATACATTTAAATTTATACAAAAATGAATTAAATATTGTACCATTGTATTATATTTGTATTGGTTTTATATTTTTAGTTTTTATCATAAATAACTAATTTTTTTAAAGTACAAACAAAATACAAATAAAATATATCAACATTTAACATATAGGGTAGGGACTAATTAATAATTACTTAAAAATATAGGATCGGTTTGGTTCGATTTTGCTTCGATTTTCATACATGAAAACCGAGACTGAACCGAGTTGTCAGTTTATTTTTTCATACAAACCAAAACTGACCAAGATTTTGAAAAAACGACAAACTTGGGTTGGGTCGTGTCGGTTTGATTGATTTGACATTTAATGTAAACACCCCTAGTAACAGGAACCCGTTGGATCCTCCTTCCCTCTCCATAACTACGACCAAGGCAAAATAAAATCTGGAGATGATTCTCATCCAATAAATATGTACTCAGAGCAATGGGTTTTATTGCCAACAAATCTTTACCCCGCACAACAATCATGAGAGCATTGTTATGGATTCTGCATCATTGTAATGCATCACTTTTCCCTGATAAATCTATACCTAGAGCTATGTGGAGAAATTGGGATAAAAATTATCTTTAGAGAAGATGCAAGAAAGGGTACTTTAGGAATTTTAAAAAATATATCAGTCACATGTGAACAGAGTGTGACAGAAAGTTAACAGTAAGGGGGTTTTAGACAATTGTAAAAAAAATTAAGGGTACTCTATGTAAATAGTAATGGCATAGTTAG